GTTTTTTTTTTTTTTTTTTTTTTTGGATTGTACTGGACATAGAACTCGGTCCTTGTGCTCTCAAGGCAGCCAGCAGAACCACTGAGCCAAATCCCCAGCTCCTCCTCCTCCTCCTCCCACCATTCTGCACACCAATTGGGCCAGTGCCACCTGGGGCAGCCTATTCACTGGGCAGGGATGTGGGTGAGGGTCTGAGTGGCAGCAGGGCAGGGAGATACACTGCCCGTGGGAAGAGAGCACCTGGACAGAGGAGCTGACCTTGGGTGGGGATCAAGGTCATCGTTGGTTTGCACTCCTCTCCCAGCCTCCTCCTGGGACGGCATCTCTGTGACCCTCAAACAGCAGAATTTAGTTCTAGGAATGTCGAGGCCAGGACTAAGATCTGGTATCTTCCTGCACCAGGAGAGGTCACAGGGGACATCCTGGAAGTGATGGCACCTAAGCTTCCAGAGACATCCTGGCAGAGGCAGTGCCTGGGCGATGTCAGTGCTCCCTATCCCACCCCAGGGCAGGCCCGCCTCCCAGGACAACCCGGGCCCCTCAGGGCTGCCCACGTGTACTGCACAGGCCCCTGGGCTTGAGGCAGACAGTATGGTGGCCCTGGGTAGAGAGGAGGACAGGCTGCAGGCCAAATGATGGGCTCAGCTGCCAGGCACAGGGCTGGGAAGTCGCCTGAGGACAGCAGCATGTTACCCCAAAGCAGGCAGCCCCACAGCCTCAGCGACATCCTCCTGAGACAGGAAGCCCCCACCATGGCTACCGCACCCGGCACATTCCCCAGCCCCACAGGACTGCAGAGAGGGGTCAGCCACCCCGCTGTGACCTGGCAATAGCCCAGGTGGCCCGGCCCCTGTCCACCACCCAGAACTCTTCGGGGTTCTCTCTGCCTGGTGTGGTTCACAACTCTCTAAGCCAAAAACCCCGATTCAGATTCTGACCGGATCCCAATTGATAATTATTGTATATATTCTGCAATTCTTATTCTTAAATAGATTTAAAAGAATTTTTTTTCTTGACAGTCAAGTAGCTTTTTTTATTCTGGTACGAGGGATTAAATTCAGGGCCTTTGCACTGGCATACGTCCTTAACCCTTTTTTAAATTTTTAATTAATTTGTCTGTTTGTTTTGATACAGGGTCTCACTAAGTTGCTCAGGCTGGCCTTGAACTTGCTGCCTTAAATACTGCCTCAGCGTCCCAGAGTGCTGTGGTGTGTGTGCTACTTTTCTAACACCAAAACCTTGTGATCAAACATCATGCTTCAACAGGCGCCCTCTCTGGAGCAGACGCTTCCACCTGGTGCCGGCGAGTCCACACAGCACCTGGGGCTGAGGTTTCCATGAGCTCCAACGTTCCTGAAGGGGTGGCTCCCCCTGCTGGACAGACGTCTAAATAACCAGAGCCCATCCTCACCACAGTCGGGGCTGAGGGCTTCTGTCCCAGAGGAGGCGGCTGACAGAGGACTTTTCCCTAAGGTGGAATGGGGGACATTCCAGAAGGGGTGCCTCTGAACCCCAGATGTTTCCTACCCGCCTCCCACTCAGGGAATAACTCTGTCTCCTTTTAAAAATTTGTTTGTAATTCACACATAGTAACCACATTTATGGGGTACAGTGTCCTTTCAATACACTTGCACGCTGTGCAATTATTCCAGTGGGGAAATTGGCACCTCTAACACTTCAGGCATGTATCACTTCTGTGTGTTGTGAACATTCCATATCCTCCCTACTAGCTATTCTCAAATATTTAATTAATTGTCAACCGTAGTCATCCCATGATGCTACAGAACATTTGAAGTTACACCTTCCTTCCTTCCTACCTGGGCATGGTGACACACACTATAATCCCAGCAGTCTGGAAGGCTAAAGCAGGAGGATCACAAGTTCAAGTCCATTTTGGGCAAATTAACAATTTAGTGAGACCCTGTTTCAAAATGATATTTTTTTTCAGTACTGGGGATCAAACTCAGGACCATGTACTTGTGAGGCAGGCACGGTGCCACTGAGCCAAAGCCCAGCCCTCAGAATGAAATTTTTTAAAAGGTCAGGATGTAGCTCAATGGGAAGATCCTTGTTTCAGCCCCCAGTACCACAGAACAAGGTATCTCTCCTATCCAACTTCACCTCTACATAAATTAACCATCCTCTCTCTGGTGCCTCTATTGTATTTCTGCTTTTTTTTTTTTTAGATCATTTTAGCTTCCACATATAAATGAGAACAAGTACTTGTCTTTCTGTGCCTGACTTATTTTGCTTAACACAATGACCTCTAGTTCCATCCATGGTGCTAAAAATGTCAGAATTTCATTCTTTCTGTGGGTGAATAATATTCTTTTACTCTTATGGTTTGTGTCTAGATGTCCTCCCAAAGCCTCATGTGGTCATAGGTGGCTGGATCTACAGTGTGTGATGCTGTGATTATTAAACTAGTCCTTTGATTGGTTTGGCACAGTTCTTGGTGTGGATAATGGGAAGGCCTTCCCTAGATGTGAGCACTAAGGGCAGGTACCATGGATAGACTATAAGGAACAGAAAGAGAGCTGCTGTCATTGCTTGTCACTTGCTAATTCTTTGCTACTTCACTGCTTTGTTGCCTTCTGCCCACCATGAACTGTTTCTCCCCTGTGATCCCCACTGCCATGCCACCCTCCCTTGAAGCCAGCCAATGATGAACTGAAACCTCTACAAACTGTGAGCCAAATAAACATTTCCTCCTTTAACTTCGGGTGTCAGGCATTTTGTCTCAGCAACAAGAAACATAACTAAGACACTTACATACATGTACCACATTCTTCTTGATCCACAGTCCACTGATGGACACTGATCTTTATTTTGTTGTTGTTGTTGTTGATGATGATGTGGTTTGTGGTACTGGGGATTAACCCAGGGCCTGGCACATGAGAAGCAAGTTTTCGTTCTACCACAGGCTGCACCCCAGCCCTCCTTATCTTGACTCCTGTGAATAGCACTGCAGTAAACGTGGGAGTGTAGATGCCTCTTTGACATACTGACTTCAGTTGCTTTAAATAGAAGCCCATGAGTGAATTCCCAGGTCAGAGGGAAGTCATCTTTCTAGTCTCTAAAAGAACTTCCATATTGTTTTCCATAATGGCTGTACTCACTTACATTCCCACCACCAACCACACATGAGAGTTCACCTTTCATCTTCATCTGAATTTATTATTTATCTTTTTGATAATAACCTTTCTAACTGGGGTGAGATGATATCCCACTGTACATTTGATTTGCCTTTCCCTGATAATTAATATTGAGTGTTGTTTTTGCATACACTTTTGGGCTGTCTGTATTATCCTTTTTTGAAAAATACATGTCTTAGTTACTTCCTTGTGGCTGGAACAAAATACCTGACACCCACAAGTCAAAGAAGGAGAGGTTTGTTTTGGCTCACAGTTTGTAGAGATTTCAGTCCACTGTCAGCTGGTTCCAAGGGAGGGCAGCATGGCAGTGGGGCGTGGCAGAGCAGAGACAGTCCATGGCAAGGCAGGCAGAAAGAGCAGCAAGCCTACCTTCTTCATGTCTCTTTATGTTCCATCCAGGATACAGGCCTATTAGTTGGTGCCACTTACACTTAGGGTGTGTGTCCCACTTCAGTAAATCCATTCAGCCACACTCAGGACCATACTAATCTAATTAAGGGACTAACGCAGTTATCATCCACTTAATCAACCATCATGAACCCATGATCCAGTCGCCTCCCAAAAAGCCCCACCTGTGAGCACATGAGGTTTTGGAGGGACATCTAGATATAAGCCATAACAATGTTCATTCAGGTTATTTGCCCATTTTTGTTCTAGTGCTTTCATAGTTTAGGGTCTTGCATTTATTTAAGTCTCTGATCCATTTTGAATTGACATTC